CAGAAAAGGTAACTTTAAGCTTTGGCTTGGGTGAGAAAAATGGATGTCAAATTAGAGTCTGATAACGAGGTGCTGGTGAACCTGTCATTCCTGGCAATACCTACTAATTTAATCAGCAAACAAAATAATTATGCCTCAGCGTATGCATTGTTCAAGTATAAGATGACTTTTAAAAAAGTCTAATTAATTAAACACTTCGTCATCATGGAGAGAAGGGTAAAGATTCACACATCAGTTAAATTAGAACCCAGATGTATGGCTGTCGGTTTGTTGCCTTTAGATCATTACGGTTACATGTCCACAGACGCGCAATTTTTGCCGTACGAATTGTGCTTTTATTATGTAAGTCCCGATGTATAAATATATTCTGTCAGTTATATAGCCTCTTTTCCGGATACAATCCTTAGAGTAGGTGTGACTAGTGTTATTAAGGAATATCATGCACACATACAATCTATGGAGATCACTTTATTCCGTAGTTATTCCTAAACACCACGTGTATCTGCAATTATTAATGATTAATTAGATGAAATGAAGCTACTTAGTCGTCTACCCAGTTTTGATATCAAAATAACATTTTTCAAAAGCGATTAATTTATGCCTTCCGTTAGCTTTATAGATTGGGAGTTTATAAGAACCTCCCTAACAAAAAAAAATACAATCGTTAACTATAGTTTACTATAGTTAAGTATAGTAAATCCGAGTTTCAAAGTTATCACTTTAGTAAATCAAAGTTTTCATAGTGTCAAAATTATTGCTTTAGTAAATCAAAGTTTACATAGTCATCACTATGGTAATTCAAAGTGTCAACGTTTACACTTTTTTAAATCAAAGTTTCAAAGTCAGCATTATGGGTTTCCGACATGAAGCCTCTAGAAATTGAAAGTTTAAAATTTATTAAATGTACTACCTTCTATAATTTTCTGTTGTACATTCTATTTCAAATAATTCCATGAACTTTGCATGCAATTCATTTTTTTGCATTCAATTTTATTTTTAATTTTATACTGTTTGAAAAAAAAAATTATGGTATTCAAACACTTCTACTTGATAACATTTCTAGAATGAATATTGTTAAACTTTTATTTCAATTGGCCTTTTTTATATTAGTAAATAACATGATTAAATGTTATCAAGTATGTAAACAAGATGTATAGATTTACCACCTTAAATACATTGATATAAAGTATATTTGATTGAACCCTTTAATAAATCAAAGTTTTCAAAGTGAACACTATAGTATTTCAAAGTTTTCATAGTGTCAAAGTGATCACTATAGTAAATAGAATTTTTCATAGTGTGAATAGTGTTTATAGTATAAATCAAAGTTTTCATAGTGATCAATATGGTAAAACAAAGTTAAAGTTAAAGGCTAGGACAACAAATAGGAGCTAAAAATCAAGGAAAAGGTACTAAAGACTAGGATAAAAATAGCTCATATTTAATAAAATAAAGAAACAACAAAGATTTTTATTAACTTTATTCTGAGGAACTAGAACTTTATGGCTGCATCATTAAAACACAATTATCTTAATAACTTCTCCTTTATATACGAGGGGTTATCAAAAAGTTTGTGGACTAGCGCTATAAAATTAAAACTGCTTTAGGTACATCAATGAATGTTTACACATTTAGTTAGCATATTTTTTTTCTATCTATAGAATAAACCATAAATCAGAAGTTTTATTTTTTTAATAAATTGTTAATATTTTTGTAAGCAATGGTATGTCCATGCGGCGCAACCTCAAATATGACGTTTTTTCTACCTAGAGTAACTGAGAAAAACTCTTATGATATGAGCATTTGTCATAAAAAAATTCCGTTATTTCAGGCATGTGGTACCTCACAATTGTTCCGTAAAATTTGCAATTTTTACCCCATTCTGTAAGTTCTATGAAATTTTATCGTAAATTTTAAATGGAGTGTTCAAAAGTTAAGGGCTTGAAAATGACGTCAAAAAGGGGGGAGGAGTTTCTTTTTCCAGTATTCTATAAAGTTTCGCACCTGGAAAAACTGGTATAGATTGAGGGAATGTTTAAAAGGGCTACAGAAGAATAAAATGCATCCAGAGTGCTTGTTTTTAAACGCTCAAAAGGATCTCGAGAGATGAAAGATACACAGTTAATGTTGATTTGTAGTCAGGGTGTCAAAAGTCAGTCACGTTTAAAAATGACGTTGATCATGTGTAGTAGAAATTGAACTCCAACAAGCTAATCAAGTGAGGATTTTTCCCTATGTATAGATCCATTTACAATATTATATGCGTTGAAAACAGCTGTTCATGACATTTTAAAGTCATATTAACAAGACGGGGTTAATGCCTTACTTTACTCCAGATAATCTCACTAAGATAAGTGTATGAGATGGAGAGAGTGGACATTGAGAAACAATTACGTTGTCGGACGTCATGAAACTAAACGGCGACAGCGCCGGGTGATCATATAACGTCTTTTTTAATTTTAGAATAATTTAGAAAATTATCAACTTATCAAACTAACATTTTCATAACTTCTTAAACTTTTGTTGTTTTATGTTTGTTATAAATTTTGTAAGCACAGACTACATAGTATTAATTTTATCGCATCAGTCCACGAACTTTTTGATAACCCCTCGTACATATTGATCTGTTTTAAAAAATTTGAAAGTCAACTTTTGTTGCATATATATATATATATATATATATATATATATATATATATATATATATATAAGTAGTTTGACCAAATTGCGGAAATTGTTTCATTCTGGGATGTTAACGTTCATACATACCTCGCACTGAATGTTAAGTGTCACATATTGTCCGAATGAGTGAATAGGTTAAAGTTTTCACGTTCTTATTATTTTCTAGGGGTTTTTTCCAGTCACCTAATTTTACTGATCAACTTTGCAAAGCTTATACTAATATGGACTGTTTGTGACCTATATATTAAGAGGATCATTAGATAGGGAAACGTGTTTGGAGTAGGACATCCCCACACATACACTACTTATAGATGTGATTAAATAGTCAGGACTAATTCTGACCTTGTTTTTCCTGAAAATATTAATTTTGAGATTTTCAAAATATTTCAAGTATGCAAAATTTTGAGTCCCCTACTACAGCCCCATCCCTGCTCCGCTAGCCATGAAGTCTCACGAATTTACACTCAGGGCAATTTGTGCTAAGTTCGGGGGAAATTTGGAGGGTGGTTCTGGAGAGTAATTGAAAATTTGCAAAGTTTACAGAAAAACATGTCACACACAGGCAGACAAACAAACAGAAGATCGCCCAACACTTTCCAATCAGAAAAGGTAACTCTTAGTTTTGGCTTGGGTGAGAAAAATTGATGTCAAATTAGAGTCTGATAACGAGGTGCTGGTGAACCTGTCATTTCTGACAATACCTACTAATTTAATCAGCAAACAAAATAATTATGCGTCAGCGTATGCATTGTTCAAGTATAAAATGACTTTCAAAAAAAGTCTAATTAATTAAACGCTTCGTCATCGTGGAGATAAGGGTAAAGATTCACACATCAGTTAAATTAGAACCCAGAGGTATGGCTGTCGGTTTGTCGCCTATTACGGTTACATGTCCACAGACGCGCAAATTTTGCCGTAAGAATTGTACTTTTATTATGTAAGTCCCGATTTATAAATATATATCAGTTTTTTAGTCTTCTGTCAGTTTTTAACTAGAAAAGTTATATAGCCTCTTTTCCGGATACAATCCTTAGAGTAGGTGTGACCAGTGTAATAATTAAGGAATATCATGCATACACTGTACATACCATCTACGGAGATCACTTTATTCCGTAGTTATTCCTAGAAACCACTTGTATCCACATATATTAATGATGAATTAGATGAAATGAAACTACCTAGTCGTCTACCCAGTTTTGATATCAAAATAACATTTTTCAAAAGCGATTAATTTATGCCTTCCTTTAGGTTTATAGATTGGGAGTTTATAAGGACATCCTTAACAAAAAAAATGCTATAGTAAACTATAATTTATTATAGTTAAATATAGTAAATCCGAGTTTCAAAGTTATCACTTTAGTAAATCAAAGTTTTCATAGTGTCAAAACTATCTCTTTAGTAAATCAAAGTTTTCATAGTCATCACTATGGTAACTCAAAGTGTCAACCTTTACACTTTTTTTAAATCAAAGTTTCAAAGTCAGCATTATGGGTTTTCGACATGAAGCCTCTAGAAATTGAAAATTTATTAAATGTACTACCTTATATAATTTTCTGTTTTAAATTCTATTTCAAATAATTCCATGCACTTTGCATGCAATTCATTTTTTTTTATTCAATTTTATTTTTACTTTCATACTTTTTGATTTTATACTTTTCAAAGACTTCTACTTGATAACATTTCTAGAATGAATATTGTTTAGCTTTTATTTCCATTGGCCTTTTTTATAGTAGGAAATAACATGATTTAATGTTATCAAGTATGTGAACAAGATGTATAGAGTAACCATCTTAAATGCATTGATAGAAAGTATATTTGATTGAATAAATCTTTAATTGATGAATAAACCTTTAATAAATCAAAGTTTTCAAAGTGAACACTATAGTATTTCAAAGTTTTCATAGTGTCAAAGTGATCACTATAGTAAATAGAATTTTTCATAGTGATCACTATAGTATAAATCACAGTTTTCATAGTGATCAATATGGAAAATCAAAGTTTTCATAGTGTCAAAGTTATCAGTATGGTAAATCAAAGTTTTCATATTTATCACTAAAGTAAATCAAAGTGTTAAAGTTATCACTATAGTTAACTATGGTTTTCATAGTGTCAGAATTTCACTGTAGTTAAGAATAGTAAACTATAGCTAACTATAGTATTTTTTGTTAGGGCTGGGCTAATACTTTTCGTACATGCACATTTATCTTGAAACACGCATCCCATCGATAAGCTATTGATTTTCACGTGATGACTAGAACAATAACAATAAATTATAAATAATAATAAATTAACAATAAATTTCAATAGTTCATATCTACCTGACTTCCAATACCACGTTTGTTCCTTTTAGTACTTATGTCCTTGAAATCAATTTTCCAGGTCATCTGCAAAATCGTCATGTCGTATTTTCTCTTTCTGTAAATAAATTGAATATTTACAGATTTGTTGTCAAGGTTAAGACCAATATTAAAGGAAAATATTTCCATCCAAAGATATACGATTTTCAATATCATATCTATAAAAACCCTTATTTTTAGAATAGTTTGTAAAATAACATTTGTTTCAAGCTTCTGGTCTCAATTTGCAAGAAAAAATTATATTTATTTTATTTTTAAACCATAACCTGCTTTATCTGCGTTTTCAAGTTCAATAGAAGATGCATTGTACATTATCCTAGTCATTTTGCTTGGTTTTATCTAAAATGAATTATCCGATGATATCAATAAAAGCATCTTCATAAGGAAAAACGGACTTAACAAAATCTTGTCATATTTTAATTTTCATGTAGTTCGCAAACCTTATGTATAATCCTGCGATGATGCTAGCGATGAGTAGCAAGACAAAGGCAGAGAGTGCGATGATAATATTTGTGGTATGATCTGAATCAATAAAATGTCTATTGTTACAGACAATACAATTAAACTCTCCAAAAAGGGATAGCACAAGTAAGTGTCAAATAAAATATCAAATATGGCATTATTAAAAGTTTACAGTGATAATAATCTGTAGAAGTGTAATCCAATGTATTGTTGGCACATGCTTCCTTTCACAAATTAGTAAATGTTTAAAAATGATATAAATACTTCAGAGGAAATCAAACCTTATATTTGCATGCAAAAAAATAATAATTTAAGGTAATTGTTTGGTAACAAGGACATAAATTCTAATCACCTCCTATTACAGTTTCGGATTCTCAACAGAAGCGATGAGATACCTGTTATTCATAGATTCAATGAAAAATATAAATAGAAAACTTTGAAAGAGACCTTTGTTCACAGGGGGACAGAACTCGTTGGAGAAGCCACACGGTGGTGTACTTGGTGGTGCCTCCCCGTCTTTGGTCAACCACAAAGTAGACTTATCTTGCCAAATACTCACTATCTAAAAAATAAACCATAAGTTCTATAAAAAACTTACCTTCACAGTTTTTAAATCAGGTTTCCTTTTTTCGATTCTATGCATGTTAATTACCCAAACACATTATTTTGAATGTTTGCACCACTTTCTGAAATTGTACATTATTCTTTTTTCCCGTTATCAGAATCCTCCATAAAATGGTCACCTAAAATACCTTGTTTTTCTTAAGAATTTTAATTTAGATAGATTTGAATAAACAAGGCATTGAAAAAGATAAATTAGTTTTATTTAATTCAAATCTTTCATTATTTAGAAACCTGAAACAGCTATTACCTACGAGTCCGTCTCTACTAAAAAAAAAAACTACCTCCAAACCCGTCTCCACAAAAAAAAAAAAAAAAAAAAAAAAAAAAAAAAAAAAAAACAACCTCCGAGCCTGTCTCAACAAAAAGCCTACCTCCGATCCCGTCTCTACAATAGCAAATATCCTGGCCTCGTCGCTTTCGTTCTTCATATCCTCCACCCAGAACACGGGCTGTTTGTCGCCATTCCCGTCAAAATTAATTTTTCCACTTGTACCTTTTAAAAATAAACTAGTGGCGCGGCATAACACAAACGTTTTAAAACAGAAAAAAAGTCTACAAAATTCCTTAGAAAATATTTTTTAGGTTGGTACTATTTATAGAATTCACAAAACGTCCCAAAAATTAAAAGTAAATCCAATGCATTTCTGTTTCATGGTTCTAACTGCATAAGCTCATAATCAAAAAGCATTACCTTTATTTGAGTAACCGAAATTTGTGTTTTCATATAAGTATTGATCTCTTTATTAAGTATTTTTTTTTACATTATACGTATATAAGAATATTTATTTTTCCCTTTTTCTATTTTTTCTCCATTTTTATTATTATCATTATTATTTACTAGACTTTGACCCGCGCGTGCATGGGTTGACATTGTTATGAATGTATCCATGTGCATATCGGACATTTACAAAATAGATACATCGACACATTCATATTGTAAGGTACTTTTGAAATAAACAATAAATGTGAATATAATTCTGTTTTTTTTTTCTTTCTTTTTTTTTTTGTTTGTTCTTAAAATTGGTGCGTAACGGCGTAGCGCAGAATGGGTTTGACCCCAAGTTTAGCTATAAATCAAGTCATGAGTTCGAATAACGCCGGAGCTTACATAAATTTCACCTCATATCAAGCAAAGTAATGAAAATGAAGAAATATGCTAAGCTGGTATTTTTACACAATCAGTTATTAAACTAAATGTGTAATAAATTTTGTAACAATTTTAACACTGCAGGTCTCAAATTGTTCAAAATATGACCTCAACAATAAAAGAGTTATTAAGCACTGCTAATACGTATACTTTATATGTACACAGGTTATAGACATGTATATAATCTGTAAAAGCAGAAATGAAAATGGACAAATGTGCTATACTGGTATTTCTACACAATTTAGCAGATGTGAAGTAGGACAGATTATCTTGCAAATACCCCCCCCCCCTTCCAAAAAAAAAAAAACAAAAAACAAAAAACAAAAAAAAAAACATACTGGTTGTTCAAGAGATCATAATAAAAATTAAGAATATCAAATGTACTTTATCAAATATATGATATAAGAAAATGCTTTCATGACTGTCTGTTTTGATAAAAATTAATGTAATATCCTTGAATTAGTAATATTTTGAATCGATTCGATTAAAACCCAACCCTCGGTTTTTGAATAATTTTGATTCGATTTTTGGAAACAATATGTTTGCTTCAGTTGTGTTTAAACCTGTTATAGTTATTGAAAATTCGAAATAAATAGTAACCAATTTGAAAGTTTTTTTCATCTTTTATGATTCAACAAATGTAATGTGTTTTACTTTTTAGCTTACGTGAGCTGAAAGCTCAAGTAAGCTTTTCTGATCACATTTTGTCTGTCGTCAGTCTGTTCGTCTGTCTGTCCGTCTGTCTGTAAACTTTTCACATTTTCGACTTCTTCTCCAAAACCACTGGGCCAATTTCAACCAAACTTGGCACAAAGCATCCTTGGGTGAAGGAGATTCAAAATTGTTGAAATGAACTACCACGCCCTTTTTCAAGGGGAGATAATTAAGAAATATTGAAATTTTTTGGTAAATCTTTAAAAATATTCTTCTCAAGAACCATTTGGCCAGGGAAGTTGAAACTAATGTGGAAGCATCCTCTGGTAGTGTAGATTCTAAATTGTTAAATTCATGGGGTAGGTTGGGTCTCAATGGGGGGTTGAAATTTTACATAGTAATATATAGGGAAAATCTTTAAAAATCTTCTCCTCAAGAACCTTTTGGCCAGGAATGTTGAAACTTATGTGGAAGCATTCTCAATTTCGTTTAAATCTTATCATGATCTTTCATGACCCTTGGGGGTACGGTGGGGCCACAATGGGGGAGGGTTATCCATGGGAGTATTTATAGGAAATTTTTTAATGAATTTTCTTTTCCAAACCTATTTGACCAGAGAGGTTTTCTGAAATGTAAATTCATATATTGTACATTCAAATTTGATGATGACGATCACAGGGGTCATGATAGGGTACAACCACAAAGGGAGAGGGGAGAACAAAATATTTACTGTAAATTTTACATATGAAAATCTTTGGAGAAAAAAGTTAGAATATGTTTCAAAAATTTAATATAAAAAAACTAAATTTGTACAGATATTTCTGATTTGTTAAAGCTGTTTGGGTTAGAGTAATTGACCATTAAAATTAGTCGCTCAAGTGAGCGGCGTGGCCCATGGGCCTCTTGTTTATGCTAAGTATAAAATATATGGGATACAAAAATTATCATTATCTTAGATAAGCCAAGCAAGGGTATCCTAAATAGGAAAGTAGGAACTTGAAGGTACTTCTTGCTGCAATAATGAAGTCTTTTCCTGGGGGGGGGGGGGGGGGGGGGTTACAACTCTTTTTGGATCATACAATATCATTTCCATTTTTTAAATTGAAATCATACAATGTAATCAGAAATATTTTAAAATAAATGTTTCTGATTTAATTATTCAGAGCATGAATTTTTTCAAAATATTTAGTAAAGTCTGAGTTTAGCGCAAACTTTAAAGTTTACTGACCTTGACCGATTTTTTTTTTTGGGACAGCCAATGAGAATGCATGGTAAACTCACCCTATATTTTACAAACGATCGATATTTTAGCAGCATTGATAGAATGAACTATACGGGCCGCAAGGGCTGACTTCAGACTACCTATCAAGCGTAGTTACCATGACAACCTTTTACATATTTTGAAGATCTAGCCTAGAACAGGCTGTCCCTTCTATATAACGTACTGAAGATCAATAACAATAATTTACATATTTCACCCACTTTTTTAAAGTTAAAGAAATTTTTGGAGGTGAAGTTATAAATCTCAGCAGTGAAGGTAATAGTAAACATGGCGAACAAAGTCAAGTTGCAATCATTTAGACACATTTCAAATTGAAAATATCGGTTATATTGACGTTATTTAATTAATTCGATTTATTTCAAAGTTAAAAAATGAAAATAATGTTATTGTTATTTTTGGCGGAAAAAGAATGCCTACTTCACCAAAATGTGATTCTAGCTGCAGTTGTAACACACACACACCCTTTTCCCCTCAAAAAGGCATAAAAGAAAGGAAGGATAAAATAAAATGGGGTAGTTACATTAATATTGCTTCTACGATCATGAGCTTTTTGCCTCCGTTGAGATGGCCAGAGACATAAATAACATAATTATAATAAATGTGTCTCCGAGATGGCGAATAATTACCCACGTGGCCACAATATCACATTTGCATGGATCACGGACCTATATACTAACTTAGTATATAGGTCCCTGCATGGATAAACTCAGAAACAATAATACAAATACGTGTAAATTTTCATTGGAAATTTGCTGTATATTTTGTTCATATATATTTATGATTTCTTATTAGAGAAATTATAAAATAACAAATACATCTCTACTTAGTACAAATTACTTTTGAACACCGTGATTTAGCGTGAATGTAATGCGCACGCGCAAGATTGTAAAATCCAAAAAATCCAGATGATTTCCGGATTTTTTTGAGGAATTTTCGTTAATTATTAATTAGCGAAGCTTAATTGAGAAAAAATAAAAACAAATTGGTAATCTTCAAGTACCAATGATGTTTAAAATATATAAAACAAAAGACAGTACTCTTGCGATTTATCGGTATTAAAGGCCAAAAATTCGAGTCTATTATTTTGATATAATAGTATAGATTTATTATTTTTTTAAAATCTTTTGAGATTCCAAATGGTCGCAAAATAAGCGAAAATTAGATGCTGACTGCCGAAATCAATCATATGATCATCAAATTACTATTATACTCACCATTATAAGTTACATTATTTGTAAACTGGAGAAACCCTGATCCGTCCTTGTGGTCCAGATTGTTACTGTAACAATGTTCCCACCAAAGAACAGCTAGATACATGGAATCATGTAACGTTGAAGCCGAGTGGGAGGGCTGTATCAAGAAAATATTATCAAAACATACAGAAAACCAAGTGCTTTCATGGCTATGCAACAAATAAGAGATGAATTGTAACTATTTTGATATTGTTATGCTAATAATAATCATATTTTTAAAAAAAATGCAATGGAACAAAATTGGCGTGTTGTAACTTAGACTATTCCTCTCACATATTTTTTTTCTCTGCTGATGATAATTAGTCACACAATTGTAGTATGTCATCACACACGTCTTAAACTTGAGGAGGGAAGAGGTTATTTTCCTAACAAAACGACCAAGATTACGTTATAAATTGTTTATTGTTGTTAAAGAGAAACTAATTTTACAGTATAAGCCTAATTACAGATAAGCCTTCATCAAGTGCCGTAGAATCATTCCAGGGGGGTTCGGTCATTCTCTGTGGGATCATCCTCATTAGTTCTAAGTGACGCTCCTTGCTGGTATCGTCAAACCATCTGGCTGCCGTCAACTGAAATCAGGTAGTTAAAGCTCAAAATTTAACCAATTTGCGCCATTGTTTTGTAAGATCCTGTAGAATACCATTCCATATCGGTTACAAGTACACACTGTAGTCCCGAGTTAAGATACATGAACATCTTTGAACTTACTTTTCGTACTTAACAAACTGTAACCTGTAAGAGGGTGACTACCTAAATCTGCATGGGTTTATAATTTGAACATTACTTAATCTATTTTACGTATTGAAGAAAACAGGTTCTATCAGTTTGGGTTCTACTGATCAATTGAATGTTTTCAACAACTTTCCTTTCAATCCTTGAGATTTATACACCGTATTTACTTTGATGCCCTGTTGAGGAACAACAAAGCCCTGAGACTTTCATTTTAACAAATATAGACTCCAACGAAATAATCTGCTTAATCTGAAGATCAATGATTATCCTTAAGCTTTTGATTAAAAAAATTATTGAGATTTGTAAATTTGTAATATATAAAATTCGATCTCTTTGTAATCTTGGTAAAGAGCAGACGCCTTTACTTGGACAAATTAAATCTAAGCTTCACGATAACCTTTCGTAAAACTCTCATTTGTTTTCTGATCTTGTGGTTTTCTATAAATTTTTCAATGGATATACCCATTTTACCACGCATTGTTCTTTTTTCTCAGATAGAAAGTGATAGTGCCATTCCTTTAAAACTTACATTAGGATAAACTATTGTTTAGATACCAGGAAACAGACCCTTAATTCTCAAAAAGATGTCCAAAATACGAAAAAAGACAAAAAAAACATCAGATATATGACTGACAGACATCCATTGGTAAAGTTTCCTGTCTCTGCAGGTTCTTGTTTCTTTGTCAGGGTGGAGGAATTATTTATTTTGATCCCTGTAGTGGATCTCTGTGGAAAAACGATTCTATCAATTATAAAATTGTAGATTATTATACAAGTATTCTTTATTCTTTCTGCTTTCAGCTTGCTTCACTTTTTTATTTTGCAATTTATAGAAATGTCTTACATGAATAACATGACGAAATGCTTCACGTGATATGACGTCATCAGAGTCATTATTGTACCATGCTCGGTACTGGTATTGGTCATCGTTTGCTTTGAAGTTTGGATCAATGAAAACATAATCTCCGCTCGTCATTCCATTATAGTGAGCTCGTATCATTATTTTTCGGAAATTGCTATTCCTTGCACACATAAAAACAACTAGAAAGAAAACGAAAACAAGCATTTCAATATTAAGAATCTCTTGAAACCAAAGTAAGCAAATAATCTGTGGAGATTACGAAAACAACTAAAGTTAAATCTTATTTGAAACAATCTGTTCACATTTTCAATGGCGCTATCAAATCACATGAAAAACGTTTAATAGCACAACATCTTCAATGATAAACTTTCGTACTTCTTGCTGTCTTCTTGATAATGTGCAGGTATTTGTCGATCTCTTTGTCTGTCGGATCATCTGTGAAAGTCTGGTAGGAAGCCACAGTTATCTTTTTTTCAGTTATCTTCGTTAGGAAACCATTCATCGCATGTAAACAAAGAGCTATGGTAAAAGTGTTTAGGACAATCAAGGTGAATATTTGCAACATCCAATATAATTTCAGAAAATTTTATAGAGTATGAGAGCTTAGATTTTGTTCAATTACCGTATGATGTCTGTATAAATATTGCAGTAACATTCCACTTGAATTTGGTGAACAGTGCCGCTGTGGCAAGACCAGCTTTGTTAAAGGTTGCAGATAGTCGTACAAAGGTCTTAAAAACGTCCTTATTTCCAAAGGTCGGGTCATTTGCTTCCCAGCTTATATGTGGCATTTTATAGTACGGTGTCACATACGCAGGTCCAAGATTCCCTACATTTATATTTCAAAGCAAATAATCTTTATAAATGCAGTAAGGTCATCATTCAAATACCAAAATAAAAGACGACTGTAAATATTTTTGTTTGAGACAAAGAAATATAGACATATCAAATTTTAATAATACACTTCGAAACATTCATTTCATACACAAATAAAAAAGACATATTAACTAGCGTATGCCTAATTTGAAAAAATGTCATGCAAGCGTTACCTTTTTATTTGGAATTCATGAATTAAGATACGCCCGAGGGTTGATATGACACATGGTATAGATTGTAGTATGTAGTTCGCTGTGACTTCCATATTCTATTTTATCTTTTATTTAAAACTTTTAATTTGTGTGTTCACATTTCATCATTAAAGAATGTTTTCTGCATTTACATATGACCTTTTCTTTAAAATCTAATGTAACCAATTTTAGGTCATTAGGAAAGTAATTAAGTCAACTTTTAGTACAGAAATTGTATCCATGTTTTTTTTTAATAGAATTAAATTAATTAACTTATGAATTTTATACGTTATTTCAAGCTTGATATTCATTTTATGCATTTTTGCAAGCCGGTCTGATGCGTTAATTATACGGGTTTTCTGCGTTAAAATGGGATATTGTGACGTCACCTGTATCGCACAGTGCGGAATCTATGAAAGCCCAGAAGGCTCATTCGAGATTCGAGTTTCGAGATTCGAGGTTCGAGATTCAAGATCCAAACTAACCAATCAAAAGGCGGTTTAAGATTCAATTGCTCCCCTTTGCTAAGTTTTTGCCTTCTAGAAATCGTTGAATATATTCAAACCGAAGAGGTCATTTGATTATATTACAATGCAAGAAAGAGTGTTATATATATCAGAATGAAATTAGAAAAAATATTGGGTTTTTGGTCTGCAAAATATGCTTAAACTCATTATAACTTCTTAAATATTATAATAGATTTATATCAAGAATATCTATACCGTATTATCTACTTTGTTTACGGGTTTGATGTCAAAATAATAAATATTGTTATTCGGATTCAAAGAGCATGGGGGGGGGGGGGGGGGGGGTATTGTAGTCGATGAGAATTAATAGTGTGCAATAAAAGAAATGACTAGCGATTATTAAATAATAAATATTAATACGGGTTTCAAAGTGGATATAGTTTGTGACAAGGTATTAGAAAGTGACCAGTGACTAATACGGGTTTCAAAGTTAAGTGTGCAATAAAACAAGTGACTAGCGATTAATAATAATTAGTAATACGGGTTTCAAAGTGGATATAGTTTGTGATAAGGTATAAGAAAGTGACCAGTGACCAATTGATACGGGTTTCAAAGTGGATATAGTTTGTGAAAAGGTATTAGAAAGTGATCTGTGACCAAGTTTGTGAAACCAAGAGACAGCCCCTTAAGTACGGATGGCTGAAATATACATGCTTAATAAAAGTTAAGTGTGCAATAAAACAAGTGATTAGCGATTAATGATAATTAGTAATACGGGTTTCAAGACTGTGACCAGTGACCAATACGGGTTTCAAAGTGGATATAGTTTGTGAAAAGGTATTAGAAAGTGACCTATGACCAAGTTTGTGAAACCAAGAGACAGCCCCTTAAGTACGGATGGCTGAAATATACATGCTTAATAAAAGTAATGATTTCTCTTTGTTCAGGCCCGTAGGAAATAATTTTAAAAATCACTGTAAAGCCCCCCCCCCCTCCAAAAAAAGCAACAGGGGTTATCACGGTTATTAGACCTTATTTTTGAAAGGACACAAGCATAAAGTTGCTGTATGTTTTCTATAGTATATTATATCGGTAAAAATATATAAGGGGAATGTGTGTAAGGGGGGGGGGGGGGTAGAGACACGTGCCCAGGGTCCTATGGCTATGTTTTTTATTTTTATTTCAAATGATCGGTTATCAACATTCAGTGTCAATCTTGCAATGCATGGGTAAAATATTTATATATTCGATAATTATTTATAAGGAAACCGCTCGGGTCTCGCAAGATACATAACCAATCAATACACAAGTTTCAAGACGTGATGTAATGGCCATAGAGAAAAAAAAATATAAAAGTATTTGATAATGATAAAAAATTAATTATTTTAACAAAACAGTGGACCCTCTATACACCTTTAGGACTTTGAAAAAATCATATAGCCTAGAGCAGTACGCAATAAAATTACTTAGTTTATGTATGCCTTTTAGTGTACACAGGAAATCCTGAAGACATCGTAGTAGTGATAAAGAAAAATCGCGTTCGATTTCCCAGTAGTGTATATTCCATATAGGTGAAAAAAAAGGCTGTAGCCTATACATCATTTTCTTGATGTAAAAAAATTATTTATACATGTATTTGGTTCAAAATGGGGTAAAGTTGATCATAAATCTTATTTATTTACCAGTTACTAGAATATTTTTTATCAAATGCAATAAAAGTATTTTTAGCAATCCACACTTTTATGCCTATCCAATTTTTACAGTATACACAACTTTTGATTTTTATAGCTGGTTAAATCTAAAATTTAAATGTTACCTCGATATCAGACTATTAAAAAATGATAGCAACAAGAGTCTAAGATTAGGACTGGGAATAGGAATTAGGAAATATGTTTGTGTTAGTAGGAAGTCAAACATAAAACATTTTTAAAACTATATTTAGATTATTCAGTAAAGAAGTTTCCATAATTTCCAAGTACTGTGTAAGGATTTTAAAATTTCTCAATCTTATTAAGAGTGGTCATGATGACTTTAATTTCTATATCATAAAAATATGTTTAAATGATTTATAATTATATTCACTTGAATAATGACAATGATAGATGTCTCCAAGATCGCAGAAAGTGGTCCTCCGACCCCCCCCCCCCCCCTATTGAGAGGGTGCGACTCCCTCCTTGCCTATCCGCAACTCGGCAATGATGCGCTTTAGGTGAAATCTGTGACTTCTCAGTAGCCTACACATTAGCAGAAGGGAATATACACCACTGTTTCCCAATAGGAGAAATACATAGAAAATAAGTTTCCAATTACTTATCTTGCTCTAAGGCTTTGAATACTTGAATTAATTAAAAATTATATGTACAATACAGACTGAAATTTATCTTATTCCATATCAAATAGTAGATCAGTCTAACTGCACAAATGCACCCTTAAAAGTAATGAGATGTATCCTTGATTAAATTACTGTGCAGTGTAAAGAAGGTCCTTAGTATTTCATATCAATAATAAATTTCTCCCTCATCCATGTGCTAATTAACAAGGTTGGATCCTGATATTTAAAGTCTTAAACTTTTTTTGTCAAGTATATTTTTAGTTTCTACACACATAGCTTAATTAAAAATCAAAACAAAAAATGGGGGTAAATATGCTTCTTTTAGCGCTACAGTACATTTAATATGACCTTTTTGTACTGAAATTTGTGTCTTAATCAAAAATCACCTCTTCGACTTTTTTCCCTCCAATGTTTTTATCCAAATAAAGCATGGGACAAAATAAACTATTAGTTTATTTAAAAAAAGACACATTGAAATTGTGCCTAAGAAAAAGTTGCAAATTGCTTCGCATAATCAATTATTTGACCTTTCTGCACTCACAAAATGTGATTTTTTTGGCATTAAAAATTTAACAAGCAAAAAAATTATTTTAAAGTCTTAAACTTTTGCTGAATTTAAGCAGATTTATCAAAGTTATCTTATATATTCAGAAAAGAAAAACAAAAGTGGGGGTCTATGATGTAAATTTTTAGATATTACTAAAAAAAGTGTTAATTTTATGTTAAAATTGGCTCAATTTTTTCCTGGACTTTCAGAATATATTTACTATATTTGCCACAATATAATGAAAAAATTCATGAGAAATAACTTAATTAATAGATATTTCAGAACCAGAATAAAACATTTCACTGCAAAAAACAGCTCTGTGTGCAACCAGCATGGAAAAATAGGAATTTAAACTTAACAGTACTGTATATACTTCAAAAGGGAAAAATTGATCATTTTCTTCTAAAAAACCTTCCGCCACAAAATATAGTTCCTAGCTTAATCCAATTTGAATGGAATTTAATCGCGTTTTTTTCATTGGATATAGTTTAGTTTGCATTGTAGAATCCAGATTTAATGTTAGAATTTAAAAATGATGCAGAATTTTAGAAATAAAGGTCCAGACCAAAATCTGCTCAAAGGATCAGGATCGAACCTCCTTAAATAATTTATCGACCTACTAACTTCGCAATTCAACTATAAGACCATATAATATTCTGTAGATGTATCTATTGTTTTGTTTAATGAGGAAAATAAGATTTTATACATATTTTTCAGAACGTTACCCAAAAATCATTTTTATTTTGTTTTGAAACATATAATATTTTTTCTTGTATTATTATTTAAGCAAATGACCCATTTGTAATAAATATATTCAGTGATTTCTTGATAGTAAAAACTTGATAAAGGGAAGTAATCAAATATTGAATCCGCCTTTTGATTGGTTAGTTTGGATCTTGAATCTCGAAACTCCAATTTCGAATCTCTTATTTCGAAACTCGAATCTCGAATGAGCCTTCTGGGCTTTCGTAGGAATCGGTGTATTAAATACTGAGTATATGATAATAATCAAACAGGAAAATAGTCTCTCAGAAAGATATTTTTCCACATTAATATCAGAGGGAATCTTACGTTTTGAGGACGGATGACCTAAAAGAAGATCGATCTTATCCTCTGTGATCATGCGCACAACTTCTCCTGCTGTCTGCGACATGTCGTTCACAAAAGCTGACGTCACACTGAAACAAAAATCATCAATAAAAATGTAAAATAGGGATGATAAAAAAATGAGTGCAATTTGAAAAAGTTTGTTTACCTTACTTGTCTCGTAATTCAAATGACGTCATTAAATCAATCAGCAGTCCAATATGAAATCTATGAGTCACACAACAGATGTCAATAGCCTTAATGTGGCTCTAGCAACGCTTTATAGTAACCCCAGTTTAAATTCTGTTGGCTAGTTTAAAGTAGTCAAAAACATTGTGTTAATTGATAATTAAAACTTCCCTCGTGTTATTAGCAAGAAAACATACAAAAGAGGAGTTAAATATTTACAATTCTAAAAAAAGCTCTGATTTATAATTAGTAAGAAAATTAAAATTAATTACAAAATAAAGAAAAAAAATAACTAGGGAAATGAATGAGAGGAAAAGACAAAAATTATGCATAGCTTTCTAATAATTAAAAAAAAATGAAGATAACGACAAATGATCGATCTAAAAAAAAAACTACAATCAATACAAATTGTGAACAGGTTAGAAGTATTGATAAAAGTATCTTCAAATCCTGGTCCAGAGAGGGGTCAATATATGAGAGTAACAGTTTTTATCATATTATGGCACTTATATTTGATTGATAGAGTTTAATGTCATTACTATCGACATATCAGTAGCTATAAATGAAGTGAGGATCAAAATTAAGGCCAATGTTCAATATTCTTTAAAAGACGTCGGATTCAGCAGCAGCATATACTGGCAGTTGACAAGAGGACATATCAAGGAATTTTATGCAGAAATCTTTATACACCATCTTCTTAGAAAGTTTCTCAAAGCATTTTAATAAATAAATTCTGATTTTTTTTTAAAAAAAAAAAAGAAAAGAAATAATTGTCAGGAAGTTCTTAGTCGCAAGTGCTCAGATTAAGTATGAAAAAGGTGAAAATAACACACAGTGAACAAACTCATAAATCCACTAAAGGATATACATTGTAAATTGTGAACAAGGCAAAAACACGGACACCTGGAAACCCCAGAGGTGGGATCAGATACCCAGGAGGAGAAAGCATTTCCCTGTGGATAGTTCACACCTTCCGTGATCGAGTCCTATTTAAAGGGAGTAATCCACAGTCAGAATAGTGTATAGCCTAACGATACGTTCTATTTCCACTATTGAAGAGTTATACTTCTTAGTGCGCTCTTTTGTGAAAAAGTCGGAAAATGTACAAATCTCGCGGGATTTCTGGGACAAACGTAACATAAACATGTAAACAATATGTTGAATGTCGATGAACAAATTCTAACAAAATGCAGATGAAATATTTCATTGTTGTGGACTTTATATACATTAAGAGTAGAAATGACAACGATATCTCAATTTATATCTATTGTTGATCGTATGTATCTATTTATCGTAAGATACATTTAAATACAATACACATGCCTGGGAAATGTCGTATTTTTAATTAATGGATGATAAATTTAGGGTTTTCGCTCTCTTACATATGTCTTTTAGTTCGTCTATTCTTTAATTGGAATGACAAATACATTTAACATTTAAAATTGGATTGAGGTTGGCATGTTTTGTATTATCCGCAACGCCATGCTGTCCCAGTCAGACGACCAAACGCGCCTCTAATTTTGAAGAGTTCACTAATGGAAATAAAACGTATTGGTTGGAAACCTGTCAGTTAAAATACGACCCAGTGATTAGTCGTATTTGCAAAAAATGTCATTATAACAACCATAGAATTTGCTAAATGCTAACTTTTAACGAGAAAGTAGAAAACTCTGTAATATCGTTTTATTTATCAGAAGCCTGCCTCGGTTGACAGGTTAAGGAAACCAGCAGACAAAACTTATATCAATATCGTCTTTGTTTGTGAGGCTCGATATTATACCTGAATTTCAATTCTAGGTCTGGATATCCAACTTCTACTCTTAGTTCACTCTCTAAGGTTGAAATTCTTTAAAATAACATTTCAGTGTTAAAAACTTTTAACATTCTAGTCAACCAAGGTAAGTTCGATCTACACTTCATATACTGGATTCCTTAACTTTATGAAAATCCTTACAAATAGAAATACATACTCCTTACAAAAATATCCAACCTGTAAAGAAGAAACTGCTAATGCATGCTCTAGAGGTGGTTTAAATCATGTGAATGCTCAGAAACTCCAAAGAACTTTTAGAGATTTTAAAATCACCTAATTTTTTTAAGTCAATAACAACATGTTCGTCTTTTCTATACTTTATACAATCATTCCTCACTATAAATTTAGAACTAGGTTTTTTGATATCAGAGACAAATGTTTCTTCAATAAAATGGAACTCGGAAAATTTTCGTATCTTATGATTCGTTATCAACAAAATTGTTTTGTTAAAAATCACTCTGATTCTGCAAACAAGTACGCTGAAGTTGATATTAAAAGGATGCTAGAGTTCCTCATTAGCAACATTTATGCAGTCTTCAAAGATCAGGTCTTCCAACAAACTGTTGGAATTTATGGATGGACACTAATTGAGCTCCTTTATTACCCGACTTGTTTTATATTCCTGTGAAGCAGAATTAATTCAAAAACCCCTACACAAGAAGAAAAAAAACACTTGCTGTGGTCTTAAAATCGACATTCATATTTGGATGTTTTACTGACTATAGACGATAAGGCCAATTCACAACTAAACTGTAGGACAAACGAGATGTCTTCAGCTTTTCCATCGTCAACTTTCCTTATTTATATGGTAATATTCCACTATCATCTGCATATTAAGTTTACGTCTCCCAACTTATTTGATACTCAAGAGCATGCTCTGAGTACGATCAATTTTTTAAACCAAGACAAGCTGACAGATAAGTTGATGTTACGGTGATAACAACATTCACGTTTGAAGTCAGCATTTTGTAAATCATATGGTCGTTATAATGACCTTGTTAATTGGATCGTATTTTGGCAAATGTGTTTCGTACCGATTGTTAGGCCTTTGTTTTTATACTATAATTGACTACAGAATGTCCCGTCTACCTGATCAATACATAGGGCTCACGGCGGGTGTTTCCGGTCGGCAGGGGATGCTTACTAATCCTAGGCACCTGATTTCATCTCTGGAATTCAAGGAGGTACGAGTTTTCTGTTTTGTTCACAGACTTGTATTGGTTGTAGAGTTTTTGGGATCGATCAATGTTCGTTATCTTCACTTTTTTCATTTCATCCTTATAACACGGTTGCCTCGGTCTCACAAACTCACAAAGCGTCAAACCGTGTTACAATCCTTACATATATAAGGAAAGTTAGTGTAATGCATAAATAAGGGAGAATTTAATGAGTTTATACCATTGTTCCAAATCTTAACTCTAATTGATTTAAAAACAGAGGCATTAGAATAATACAGTATAGATCCCGTAGACACCTATTAAATCCATTTATAGATACCCTATTGATTCTCGTCGGAAAAGACAAAAACAGAAAAAAAAATTGATCACATAAATTCCAAATGTCATTTTCTTGCCCTTATTAAATCAAATTTTAAAAAGATTGAAATATGTGTAACTGATTTATTTACCGATGGTATTTTTACTCTCACGGGCGATAGTCTCATTAATTGCTAACCGTGTCATTTAAACGTTAAATATGCTTTAATTAAGCATGATAAGACTCAAAAAGAGGTAATATCAATCAAATCGGTTATTACAGAGACAAGTGGGAGTTACATGATCTTTCATTAGATATATTTGATTGTTTTTAATGCTTGGTTTCAGTTTTGTATGACAAATAATTACAGCGGAATACACGGCGCCTTGGCAAAATATCACAACTTATCGTATAACCAATGACAAAATGAGACTTTTTTAAATTCCTGATGGGATATTGAGATTTCCTTCTCTGAAATTAATAGCATTGACGTCTGAGCTTACAATCAATTCCAATCTACCTGCTAGCTAATTCAATGATATACATGTAGATTTGAATCAAGTTTCCAGATATAGCAGGGAGGTTTTTTTTTTCTAGGAAGAAATATGTAAATCCAGTACTGTACAACATTATATTTGAGAAGTGTATAAATCAGATTTGGATACTTAAAAATTCCAAAGATTTTTTTTTTTATATAGAAAATTTGAGAACACAAAATTTTACCAAAATTAATAACATCAAAACCTTCGACTTTTCAACACTTCATACAACCATTCCCCACGATAAATTAAAGTCCAGGGGCCCGTTTCATCAAAAGTCGTAAATTTAAGACCTAACTTAGGTATACTTCCGGGGCTTACGCCAAAATTTAGTTGGACGTAATTTGCGTTTCACGACGTTGCGTAAGACTAGTCGTAAACAATACGCTTAGTCTCAGGACTAAGGCCTTGACAACGCTGCATTGCACATGCGCAAAAAACATAAACATACGTACATGTATTGTGTACAATGCAACATAGAGTGCTGTTCTACATACATTTTACACAATTAGTCAAATATGCTTTAATGAAAAATTACATGAATTTTTAGGGACCTTGTAGAAAACATGCATCTTAAATCTACTTAATATAAAATATTAACTACTTACAACATACCATATGATTAAACTCCAAAATTAAAGGTCTAAGAAAAGAAATAAATGTTCTTGTAAATGTATTTATTTTGGAATATTTGCATCCTCCCCCGCCTCACCCACCCCCCTCGATTTGATAGAGAGAGAGAGAGAGAGAGAGAATCCGTTACAATTGAATATACTTGTAAATATATGTAACTGGGCATATGACTTGTCTACTAAATTTTTGAATCGATAAAATAATACAAAATATGCATCATCAGGAAAAAATAAAGACTTTTTTCTATTTCTTCTATGACATTGCGCCATTCCGTTTGTTCCTAAAAATTATAGTATTTATTTTTTAAGGAGGCTGGGGGGTCAACAAATTAACCATCAGATATAACTTATTTTTTTAGATATGATATCTTAAGCTGTCAACTATCATTTGGCAAAGAAAAAATTCATACATTATAGTTTTAAAATTTGATCATTTTTGTATA